TAGGCAAAAACTGACTAAAGATTGATCAGCACCAATTGATAATTTGACTGTTTCGTTAAATCATTAGTGCAATCATTGGAGCTAGTGCAATCATTATCATCCGACGCTTCGTGACACAGGAGAAAAATCTAGTGAGCCCACAAACTAAAATTATTCAATATTTTTTTATTGAATAAGCCGGTATACGAGCAGACGGATCTCCTGATGCCGGTCGCCCATGGACACCTGAAACACCAGAGGCGTTACAAGTGCGTTACCGGCCTTTTGGGGATCCGGGAATTGCGGAAATTGGGGAGAGGGGTAATTGGGCGTCGTGTAACCTCACTCACACGACGAAACACAACGCAAGCGTTGTTTCCCGTCGGTTTTCTGTGAGGCCGTGGTATCACTCCGGCCTAACCAGGGTGCTTACTCTTAAAACCAATCTCAATGTCAATGCAATTTCAATCCAATAGAATCTCAATAATTATTCAATGTCAAAAGTATACAACCACAATCGTATCTATTAAAATAGCATTCAGAGTACGGAATATAAAGACAAACTCAATACCATTTAGTTCATTCAATATCCACGCAATATGAATGCAATGGGCGCTAGTGTTACAACTCTAGAGTAAGAAATTTCACAATACCAATGTCGATCGATCGGAATTGGATTCAAGAGTAAGCCTCCAGGCCATTCGTGCCAAAACATGGCTCTCCCATACTTATGTAAACAATCTTTGCACAAAGTTAACACTTTTACTGTTAGTTTAAAATTGGTGTTAGTCAAACCTTCTCTAGAGGCAGGCACCGGTGACTGACGTGGGACTCTAAGGTTTAGGGTTAATTACTTAAACTGTCAAACACCAAGCGGTCACCGGTGACCGCAACCTTTTGTTCTATAATTGTGTCTACAAAACCGGTACTCGACGATAGATAAACTATAGGATGACTGCTATCACTAAAGTGGATATGTATAACTATTTCTATGGGATATTAATCTGTAATGTTCTGTTAGTCTATGCCTTTTGCAAAAAAATACGTGATCTTGCATTCTAACATGTCAAATTATGACTCCACGACGCAATACAATTTCACAACTTGAAATGTATTTACGTATACATGTATAAATACACAAAAAACATGAATGAATAGAAGTATATAAATAAATATTTAATGGTAAGATTCGTTTTTTACTCCCAATGTGTGAACAGCATTTGTGACGTCAGCGTGACTCGTTACATTTTTTTATTAATACATATTTAATTTAATTCTATTATCCTGTTTTTATGTCATTATAAAATGGAACGCGAATCTGTCTAGCAGTGTTGATGACGTAATCAATATTTTTCTATTTAAATATACAGAATGACTTGTAACTCGACTTATTCCTCTCGGGAGGTGATAATACAACTAATTTCCTACAAAATTAGCCCTGAGGTCTCGTAACTTCGTTGCTATGTATTTGTTTATTTACTTAGCTAGCTGGGAGTATTTATTTATGCTGTCAATAACTGAATAAGATACAAACTCAGTGTAGTAGTTAGATGTAAAAAACCTACTTCACTGAACTTACCATTTTATTTTTGCAAATAGAGCAGAATGGCCACCCATTCATATTGATGTGGAGAATCGATATGTCAACCCAATTAGTTCGCTTCATAGTCTAACGTAGCTTGAGACATTAACTGCGTACTTCTTTACGTAGGAATTCGTCACAGTATTGTGCAGGTGACTAGAAAAGCCTTACAGAATAGAAAATACAGAGACGCGTACCTAAATAATTGGTTAAAATCATTTCTCAGACCAAATTGAAGAATGCGATTTGAAAAAAAAAAACATAACATACTTATATCCAAATATTCTAATAAACGTCAATTCTTGTTCTCAATCCAGACTGAAAGGCTACAATTTAAAATTGAGTAGCGTTTCAGTATACGGGAATTAAATACTTCGTTAAGAAACTCCAAAATATTACACATAATTATGTAGGTACTATTATTTCCCTTAGTCAGTAAACGCGTACAGTAAACACAAACATGACTATAACTACAGTTATATCGACATAGAAATTCCACAGTAAACCTTAGAGCCTAAAGCACTACACAAAGATTCTTTGAAACAATGGCTGTTTAGCTGAAATGTCCACATAAAAATTACGCAATTGGAAATGGCGGGCTTTTGCTGTCTACATTACTCACGATGACAGAACGCCATCTTTTATTTAATTGGGAGTCCCACAGATAATAAAATATTGGATTGTTTGATTAAATGCTCATTTTTTTAAATGAGGTTAAGATTAATTTAGTAGCAGACACGAAAATTTGTATTTATAATAATCATTGTTTAAAATGAATAACGCAATCACCAGCCTATGACCTTAAACATCATAACTGTTCCTAACTCCTACAAACGCTTAGTTTTGCTAAATCAACAGAATTCACGACTCTACCTACATAGGTAACACATTAAAATTTTACGTCTTCGTGGTATAAATGTCACATTTTACGGCTCTTGGGAAATGTAGTACAGCTGTGGTCGGAACGACTTAATAACCATTTTCCAGCTATATGTCGCTGTGTTTGATTTGTAGCTTTTTCCGCCACGTTCTGAAGCACAGTCACTAGTTTGTATGATTAAACGCCACTCAAATGTGGTAAGAACTACGTTATTTAAAAATGTCTCCGTTTTAAATTCAAATTGGAACTGTCAGTCGGCCATATTGCGATTCTTAACTGATGCTTAATTTTTGCGGTTTGAATAATATGTCCAGCTATTTGTGTTTTATTCTTTTTTTGCAAAACGTTCTTTTTTCAAATTGCTAAGTAAATAGAGATTTTTGAGAAATAAAGTGTTTTTATTTGCATGTAGTTTTATTGCTTCCACGCCTTACCTCTAGCAGGCATCTATCAGAGTGATTTTTTTAAGTTAGGAGATTATTATGGATTCATTGTCGAACTCGCAAATTATTTCGGCCTTTAACCGCTTAAATGCACCGATGTGAGACACAATAGAAAATACATTGTGTCTCACGTTTAGACATACGACGGGTTAATCGGGTTAATCGAGTCAAAAATTCTTTGGATGTACAGTTTAGCGACAACGTTATACTAGTCTATTAGAACCGCAAATTCTTTGGCTTTTGCCCAAGCTATACACATAGGTACCTACTTATGTATTTAAATAGGTATGTACTTGTACGCAAGAATGCGAGAATCTACAAAGTATTCCTTTAACATTTGATAAAACGATGCCAAATTGACATGTGTACAGTTAAAGAAACTATAACTTTTTATAGAATTATATTTAAACAAAAAAAAAGCTCTTTACAAAGAGCACTCGACTTTTTTTTTAATTGAGGAAATGATTACAGGGTGTATCTACACATTTATTAAAAAAGAACCTTAGTTACATTAGTCTTTAGATATTACAAACAAAAAATCATAGAAATATGACAATCTCTACGAGTAGATAGTCTCTCCTCTACTAATTATACAGGGTGTAAACAAACGGAACGCTTACAAAACTTTTTTCAAGTGTGGGAGAGCCATGCTTCGGCATGAATGGGCCAGCTCGACCGGAGTGATACCACGACCTCACAGAAAACTGACGTGAAGCAACGCTTGCGCTGTGTTTCGTCGTGTGAGTGAGATTCCGGAGGCCCAATTAGGTACTCCCTCCCTCGTGCAAAATTCAGTCGCAGTTTAAAGGTTCAGGTATATCAGTGAGCCTCACTACACTACCCAAGTGAACTGCGGAGAACCTAACGGGTTATCGGGGGGCGGGGGTTCCGACTCGAAGTGCAGGAGTAGGAACGGAGAAGTTTTTAGTCAGTAAGAGTCTGACACTCCCTCCGGCCTCACCCTGGCGGGAGAAGTCATTCGATAATTTTCTCCCCTTAAAAAAACTACCCAAGTCTATCAAAAGTGACAGTGAATTCAGCCAATATTAATTCGATGCAAGCTTTTCAGCACCCCTATATAAAGTTAGATAAAGGTACATAGTTCATACATGCATAAGGTTCATCCCTTATATGAAAAACATAACCTACCTAGGTAAAAATGTCAGGTCACATCGATCGACTGTAAAAGTGGAAAACGTTTGAGGTAATTGTCTGTGGGAGCCATCACGTTTACTGCAACATATTGATCCAATCCAAGAAAGCATTGGAGAAGGTCACTTTCAAGATACCTAGGAAGTAAACGACTTAGATTTTATCACAATGTTAATTGGGTAGTTTCCAGGGTATCAAAATTAAATATCTAATTAGTGTGTCAGTTAGATAATGAAAAAATATTAGACTCGTATTTTTTTATATTTTCTCGTATGAAATTGCAATACTTAGATAAAATGGCGCTAAGTTTAGGAGTGGGAGGTTGTTACGTCATAACGTGCTATAAAATGTGGCACGCTGTGACGTCACACGATATTTCAAATTAATATATCGTCGGAAGTATTTAATTTTGTGAGAAAAGAAAAATTACGTGTCTAAAGTTTTAAATTAATGTACCAGACGGACATTATAATAAAATTTAGGAAACTACCCTATTGTTCGATCTAACTACGGAATCTAAGCAATTTTTATAAAATACGTACGTCCTCCTATGAATGGAGAAATAACGTTTTTCGCTGTCCCATAGGATTTTCGGTAAACCTAAAAGTTGTACTTTAATCTCAAGAAAACGACTCGCTATTTTTTTTTTTTTTTGCTAGACCTATCCGGTTTATTCACAACACAAATGAATTGTTTACAAAATTACTGAACTGCTTTTAGGTAAAACTTTGGCATACGTAATCGTGAAACAAACTTTTACTAAGATCTCAGTTGACCTTTTTGACGTTTACGTTGTTTACACATACTTAATTGACCCTTAATACCTAACATAGTACCTACTTTTATTCGGAAATGCACGACCCGATATTGTTACCACAATAAGTGCAATATGGACAATATGGTAAAACAACCATTTTTACTGCTTCGGAACTAAAAATTAATCAAAAATATGTCTCCATTCCAGATTCTTCACCGCGTTCCCGGCGTCGAAGGAATTCTTCAAAATGATCAAGAACGTACCAGACGACCAGTATCTAACAAACCCACAATTCAAGGCTCACGTCATCAATTTGATGACGTCACTCAACCTGGCTGTGGAGAACATGAACCAACCAGAGATCGTCGCCGCCATGATGAACAAACTCGGAGAGTCACACGGCAGGAGAAAGATCCAAGAGAAAAATTTCTTAGTAAGTTTACAATTTTATGAAGTAGATAGTATCTAAATAATAATTACTTACCTACTATATATTTTTCTAAATATATAACTATTTATTTCTTTTCTTCTCTTTTTCTTTTCTTAGGGTGTAACGTTAGCTGTTTCTTATCAGGCAGTATTAAATTATATACGCTTCCCGTCTTATTACGAGGACCAATATTAAAATAATGCGACATTTTGTCCTACGGTTCAACAAAACATTGGCAACCTAAATCAGCCAGACATAAACATTGATTTATTCGAAATTCGAATTCACATTGAATCAAATCAAATGACATTACGAATCCACATTCTTTTTATAAAATTATTGCTTCCGTAAGCCCCTTAAGCGGTAGACGTGTTCGTAATTCAAAATGACGCGGGGAAACGTTCGATGCTTGAATAAAATTCAATTTGTGAACCGCAAATATGGGCGATACGCTCATTTGCATGTTAAATGTATTAGATTAGAGTATTAGACTAACGTACGACCAGGGAGGGTGTGGCTTTGTCTATTATTGTATTACATAAATAAATACGTCATGTTTTTATACGATTCGTAACAAAAAACTTCAATAGTAATTTTTTAACACGTATTTAAAAAAATAAAATGAATGGTCATGATAATCAACAGATCGTTTTTGCATCGATCACACTCCGAACTTTATATTTAAAGCTTTTTTTACTAAACGTAATTACATAATTTAATTATGGAATGCCTGTCGTAGTGCTTTAGTACCTAATTGAAGTATTGGTATAAACTCTAGTCCACTTGTATGGGAATCGAACCTGTGATACATTGTCTAGTAACCACCTCGACACTTAGTAGTCACTTCAAAAACCATTCAATATGGAATATCTCATTATTAACCTATACCTACCTACTAAATTAACTAAAAGTTATTATAAAAAAAACTTACCTACTAGTTAATAAACTTAAAAAAAAAATTACTAATCAAACAATTATTTTCTTTTCTAGGAACTGAAACAAGTCATAGTGAAAATGTTCATAGAGGTGCTGAAGTTGGACGAAACGACACTAGGAGCTTGGGGCAAGACCGTCGATTTCTGGTACAAACACCTATTCGAGACCCTTAACAAAGCGGAACAAACCAGATAACATACACATTGTCAACCAATTACAGTTTAAACGAGTAGTTTAGTATCTACAATGGCTACTGTGAAAAGCAAACTCGGTTTGATCTGTTGTACGATGATAGGAAAATGACCGAATTTAAAAAATCAAATTTAGAATCAGAACGCGCTTTGAAAATTGAATGATGAATATCGGCCAGTTTTAAAAACCTAGCTACCTGTTTTTTTTTAACTAGCGCGTAACACATTTTATGTGGAGCCTATGTCAAACTACTATCTTTACTATAATACTTATACGCAAATCTACCGATGATGGATTAATGAGACTGGCTGTATATCGACTGGCATTAAATAATTTGGTTATCTGTGGCAGTAGACATTGGTACTACGTACTTGCATTCCGTAATTTTTTACAAAATAATTAATTTGAATTAATTTCAGTTATCTTCCTTTCATCTTTTATTGGAATCTGGTCCGTCGAGATCTCATTAAAGGATAATAATTTTTTCACCGTCGTCATAGAGTTTGCTTTTCACCGTTGAAAATCAGGCTGAATAATCCATATTATACTGCGTTGTGTTTGTTACGGCTAAGATTGGAGAAATCGATTTTATTTCCTATTTTTACAATTACTCATGAACATACTTTCTTGTGTTTTCCGTGAGAAACGAAAATTATATAGTTAATCATAGTTGTTGAATTGTTTTAATGTTTTTTTTTTAATATATTTGATAACTTTTTTTATTGGCAAGGCCTAAGCTTTTTGTCGTGTCACGGCCTTAGGCTGTATAAATGTTGTAAACACCAAAAATTTTTATGTATCACAATTTTTTCTCTTTTATTATACAATGTTAGAATTTCTAAATAACTTTAACATTTTATACATTGACTTTTGAGTGTTGGACATTTTATCAACACTTGAATTATTGTTTTGGCATAGATGTATGTAAAATGTCATTTTATCATAGTTATAAGACGCATTTAATAATATTGTAGGTTAGATATAAAGCTTCAGACATCTTCCATTCTATTGCATAATGTAAATAGCTATATTTGTAAATAAAGCAGTGGATTTTTGTACATTGTACACTTGTTAAACCAAAAAAACGAACATATTATGTAAATACATGATTATTCAATATTTGTCAACGATTTTAATTATTGGGTCATTAAATTTTATATGAAATACTTGTGTCCATTTGTTGTTCCCTATATCAACCTGAACCAGGCTGGACTAGGATTCACTGTAGCTGAACTATGCCATTATACCTCCTCTACTGCAGAAGGGTTTGCCAAGGTTTACAAGGGGGCTGAATTACACCGACGAGAAGAGTGAGGGTAGTGTATTCTACCCTACCGTTACCACACGACTGACTTTCCCGCAACAGACGAGCAATCTAAAAATCAATATATCGGGAAAGAGTAACAGTATTACTGTGGCTTAATGGCGCAATTATGTATCGATTGGGTTAACAATACGACTCAGCTATTAAGGTGTATTGCTTTTGAAGGCAGTCTTGTTTAAAATCTGTTTTCTTTACAGCAATATAACTCTATATAAGGAAAGCAGATAGATTTCGTTTTTATAAGAATTTTTCTAATACCTATTTAAAATAAAATAAATAAACAAAAATAAAATATAATAAGCCTTTATTGCCGTAGTTACAATCAACAAAAAAACACAGTTGTAACCAAAGTTGTAACAAAGAGTTAAGAAATAAAACAAACTTAAAAACTACTCTAACATAATCTCAGCAATCGGTTTCTCTCCTCTTACAACAGCTTGTCTTTAGACAAAGGCCACCTCTAAGGATTTCCACTTGTTTCTGTCCTTTGTTACACGTAACCATTCTTACCCTGCTACTTGTTTCAAGTCGTCTTCCCATCGTTTATACTGTCTTCCTCTACTCCTCGTGCTGTCTCGGGTACCATTCCTTTATTATTCTGGTCCATTTCTCTTTCTCCTCTCTCAGCAGATATCCTGTCCAACACTATTTCAGCGTTCTGTATACTGATAGGACGACACTACACGACACATAATTAAAAATTGGGTAGTAAAATTGAATACAACAATAATATTTTGACAGTTATGTATTTCATGTTATAACGAACGAGTCTTAGATAGGCACAAACTGTAAGTCATCTACTTATTTAAATCATTGTTATGTAATATTAATTTTCCATGACATATTAAATACGTACCTTCTATCGTTAAATCGCATTACCTAAACGAAAACCGACCTACATAAATATTTCCTACACAACCCACATCAATCAAATCAAAGAATCAAGTAAACATCAATCGTTGATAAGACCGTGTTCCTAAGTAAATACTTGGCTGTATAATAAAATTCCTGAGTCTCGCAAAGCGACCATAGAGTATAGCGTACGTACCTACGGCACGGACTCAAGTGCTTGCATTATTCAGCCTGCTGCATATTTAACGCGCGCCGTCGCCACTCTCCTGTCTCTCCTTACGACACGGTTAACGCAGACATTTTATCAGCAATGATTTGCAAATATGTATAGATTTAAAGGTAGGTTCAGGCACAAATAAAGTTGGTTAAGAACCTAATCTTACATGTGAGAATTTCTTATTTTAGTCTAACCCAACTTTAACTGGAAATTCTAGCATCAAAACAAAAAATGTTAACATTTATTAAAGTTACGTTTACAAACGATACGATAAAATTAAATAACTACGTTAAAGAGAAATCAGAATCCGAACACATTGGTCTCTTGTCTATAAACACGGGAAATATAGAAAGACAAACGTTAGAACTGTGAGTAGGTACATGCCTGCCGCTAACTGTACGGTATTCGAGCGCTCACGTACAAATACCGAATATGCCGTCCCCCCCTTTTTGTTGGATGGGTAAAAAGTCTTCAATGGACATTTCAGGAAGTGACTCTTACTAACTAAAAACCACCCTATTCCTTCCAACACTTGCTCAAACCCAGAGCATCAGTTCCCATTATTATGACAAGCTACCCTCCAGAAAGGCAACAATCCTGGTGGGCCCCGTGTATGGTAGTCTGATGGCTCTTTGAGGTCCGCATTTTACGAGCCGCGACGTACACTCAGGTCTGGTACTTGTCAGGTGGTGAGCTATCCTTACTTGCCGTCCGTCGACTCGCGCTCCGAAGATCCCGACAACGCGACGCGATACTACACCCAGAGCGTCTCCTGTTACCTCTCGAAAATTATAGACGACACTCGATACATTTCGAGTAACTCTAAAAAGTGGTCGAGAACGCTTGATAGATTTCGAGTATTTCTCGAAAGTGATCGAGAACGCTCGATAGATTTCGAATATATAAATATTAGCCACTGACGGGTATAGGGCGCTAGAAAGCGCAGAGGGATTTTTATATCGGATTTGGAGTGCCATCAACCAGGAGTGGACGGCGAGTAGTACATAATTCTTATTAACTAGTCCTACCTTTTACAGAAACCGATTAAGGATACTTGTATATGAAGAATTTGGAGTGCCACTGAACGGGAGTAGGCGGCGGTGAACAATTTTCGAGTGAATCCAAGTTTAGTATTGCATCTTATGACGATTTTTTTATGGGGAAAAATCATCGAATGACTGCTCCCGCCTGGGTGAGGCGGGAGGGAGTGTCAGACTCTTACTTGAGTAAAAACCACCCCGTTCCTTCTCCTGCACGTCGAGCCGGAGCCCCGGTAACCCGTTAGGTTCTCCGCGACATCTTATGACGATAGACAGTCATAACGTTAATATTACTTGCGTCGAGTGGGATATGACCTCCTGCAACTTCTTCCATACGCCCATCCTTGCCTAGGTCTACCCAATCATAATAATATCATAAGGCAAACTTCTGTTTCGTCAACCAAATATTAATTTTTCCCTTGGGCCTTGGATATTTAGCAACAAACGACAGTAATTAGCATTTTTTACATAACTGAGTAAAATTGCATATACCGATATCATTCTGTGTACACTATTCCTAGAAACAGGCCAAATGACCAAATTTCAAGGGATATTAGTTGGGAGATAAATAAAACACTAAGACTTTAATGATTTTTTTTATTTTTTTTTTACAATTAATCAGATAACATACATATCAAACCAGCCGAAGTATGGCTAAACCCATTTATTATCTAAACTTACGAACAATACAAGAAATTGATACCTCTCAAATTCACCTTACTTTAATATATATAGATATATTATAATAATATAATATGCGTTCACTCTACATATAATCTACAACCTACTTACTCATAATCTAAGTTTTGCATAAATTCAAAGTAAATATGCCCAAAAGAAATATTGTTGAACTATGAATATATATTACTTTTTGGCAATTAATTGAGTATCATTTATGTGCATAGCAAAATTAATTTTCTTTTAAAATGTAACTTAGATCTTACTTCATAAAGAGGCCACAAATATAACATGCGTTTCTGTCGTCAGTTCGATTAAATAGGGACTTTTTGTTAAACATTATTTATTGCCTATTCTATAAACATTACACTTATCGAAATGTAAGAAAAATATCCTTACGCAATAACTGAATTAGTCTAGCAGTGCTGTGCAGTGAGTGTAGAGGGTCCTCCGGTGGCTGGGGGGCACGCTCGAGCTACGTCACCGTCACCGCTCGAGGCGAGCGTCGCGAGTGTCGCGAGGGTGCAAGCGCGAGCGCGCCGCCCGACCCGCCTCACCGTTGTGCGTACACATTGCGCTAACAATACGAGACAACATTTCACATAATGATCAAAACAACTATTTGTCATCTACATAAAATTTGCTCCAAATGTTTATATTAAAATATTTCTACTTATTGTAACTTCTAATTAGTTACAGCCAACTTTACAAATAATTGATACATTAGACTCTCAAATAGATCTCTACTAACTATTATTAATTAATGGTAAAAAATAAAGAATAAAAATACTTCTAAACATTGCATTTCAATCACATAAGGTTTAGTTAAATACAATAATAACATTTTTAAAACCCGAACATAAGTATTACAAGAACAATGATATCGTTGAGTTCTGGAATGGAAAATAGCACACTTAAATTCACTAACTGTTACACTTACATAATAATTATTGTTCTCCTGCTTTGTTTGTTAATATACATTGCTTTTAAGGTAGTATCAGAAAAATAACAGTAAAATATATCGACTATTTGATACACTGATAAAATTCATGATAAACCCTTAATTAACTTAAAGAAATTGTTAAAATTGTGTACCAAATAACAGTGCAGTGCGTTTGATAAGTACAGAGAATCGATAAATACATTGATATAGATAGGACATACTATGTGAGGTTATTGAATGAGGTAATACAGATATAAGAACATAGAACCGCTGCCGATGCCTCGGACGCAGCCGACCATTCGCATCTGTGCTACTGTCTACACCTTATGTAAATGGAGACGGCGATGTCTAAAAACACGGCCCTTGCAAAAATAGATCTAGAACAAGTATAGGTGTAGGACGAGTGTGACAGAGGCACGCGGACGCTCGCCGCGGGGCAGCCGCTACGCTATTATTTGGTACGTGACGGAACATACGTAGAGGATGGTGTACAGATCAATACAAATTCATATTACTATTAAGGCAGCCGTTCATAAACTTACTACGTGAAAATTACTTACGCATGCCTCATTATTATTATACGATCATAATTATATTATTACATATTATATTTTAGACATTGAGAATACAAAGTTTCAAAATAAATACCCAACAAAGATAATTTGAAGAACATAAGGAACACTACAGCAGCAATCAAATTGCGAACACATTTTGTACTACATAAAAAATAATACACAACCCTTTGCGCGAAAAGACTGAAAAGTTCAACTTTTAAAGTCACCATGAAACTCGGGTCCTAGCATGAAATGCAATATAGACTAATATTCCGTGCGTTCGTCAAAGATGTGCTTTCATATGAGTTTAGCGTACATATACCGGGATCACCTGCAAACGCAAGGAAAATGCTTCATAGTACGGACCCTCGTGTCACTTTCAGTTAATACTAGATCTTTAGAATAAATTTTTCCCATCACAGAGATTTACACAGAAAAATCTTTTAG